CCCGGTGACACAAAGTGCCACCATGCGGATGAGGATCACCCTTGCAGAGGTCTCAGAAACCCCTTTCAGCCGTTATGGCCATATCTAAGGCCTAGGTCATATTTATGGCACAGCTTTATTCAGGGCCCCCGGCAGAAGCCAGGGTGGGGCTTTAAATAACTAAAAATTGCATCCCACATGGGGACGATATGACACCTATGCCAGGTAAGTATAAAGTCTAAACAGGCTGCGAGATAATATCTAAATAGATTGTGGGATAATTATATAAGATTGTGAGATTATCATAAAGGACTGCAAGATAATTATGAGAGATTTTAAGATAATTATAAGGTATTGTGAAATAATTATATCAGATTGTGAGGTTATTATAAATGCAATGCAATTATAAAAGATTATGGGCTAATTTTTTTTAAGACTGCAAGATATTTATAATACAGAGTGAGTCAGAAATATGGATACACTTTTCAATGTGCACGTATCATTAGAAAGCAATGAGTGGCTTTCAAAAGTGATGCAAATTTTGCTGTAAAGTGAACGATGAGCAGTCTGATGCAAAGATATGTTTCAGGATTGTTGCATATTGTTAGTCTGACAAACTGCTTTCCAATGGCTTCATTTCCGTATAAATAATATGGTCACAATATTTATTTTTATTTTAAAGTTAGTTGTGTTGTATTCTTTACAGGATGTCACAAACCAGGGCTATTGAACTAAATTTACTCAAGTGCCAAAATTTGGAAAATGAGGGTCACCACAGGCCAGATCCCAGTCCCAACATAGAAAGAGCATTAACACAATATAACTGACAGGTGATCTGTGGGCAACCTGTTAGGTCTTCACGGGCCAGATTTGGCCCGGGGGCAGCCAGTTAAATAGCACTGTCATGAACTAATCTCAGCAACTGTTGGCTGCTTGTGGTTTAAAAAGAAAATTTTTACATTCAGTAGTGTGCCATTGCTTCTGAATGGTTGGCTCTCTATACCATTGTCAGAATTACTGAAATCAAGCCTGGTATCTTAGGATTACGATGATTTATTGTGCAAATTCAACGTGGCCATATTTCGGACCCACCCAACTATAGACTGATAATTTTAAGATGGAACATTCATCATCATCAAGTGCCTTGCCGTCTGGCGTTGGCGATCATGCCTACCCATTATCTGCCACTGCGTGTATCAATTTATGTGCTGACACCCTTCCATGCTATGACAAAAGGCTGTCAAGAATCTTCTCATGCTGTCTTCCTCTGAATCCCTTTCCACAGATCTTTCCAGTGGTCATAACATGTTCCAGTTTTCCTCTTCTCATAACATGACCCCAACAAAAGATGATAGTCTCTTTCTGATGTTGTGATAAGTTATCTTCGAGCACTCACCTCATTCAAAACATCCGGGTTGCTCTTCCAAGCTGTCCGTGGAATTCTATCCTTCTTCTGCAAAACAGCATCTCCGATAGTGTTCGGCTTGTTTATTAATTGTCCAGGATTCACATTCGTGTGTTAAAAAATGGCTCTATATAGCCTGCGAGAATTCTTTTCCCAACCTCTAATGAAATGGATGTATTGCACGAAATGTTCTTCATTTGATAAAAGGCAGTTTTGGCCTATGCTATTCTGTAACTTGAGCTCATTGAAAAAAAATTAAAAAAATGACTAAAGACAGATACAGAAGTTATCCACACATAAGAACATATGCAATGGCTGCTCCCAAAAGTATGGGAGATAGATCAGGACAAAACAATATATATTTTTTCATATGTTAAATTTAGTATCTAACCCCCCCCAAGCCGGAGATTAACATCATAAAATATATGTCAGTAACATCTCTTCTGCCTATGTTTTAGTTTAAACTGACAACAACAACGAAACATAACACCAGATGTCTCCTCGTGGGATCATATTTTAGGGTGGTAATTTCAAAACAAATAACTTTCATTGCCCACACTGCCAAAGAAATAAAGGGTGAAGAGAATTACATAGAGAAGAGAACTGGCCATTGAGGTGCACACAATGAGAACCCTGCATGGATGTGGTACATAATTCAAGGCATGTCACTCGTGTGACATAAAGCAGCAGAATTTTGGGGCCAGGAATTTGCAATCTGGAAGGTTAGGACGATGTTCCAGAAGAAGATGATGTGACTGTATTTCCAGTAAGTGTGAATTTTTTTAAATCTGAAAACAAAAAATGTAGCATAAGACCTGGTTTTATTTTTGGGAAAACATGGTACTTTAGACTACTACAGGTTCCATCAGAATTGGCATTCTGTGCCGACTCCTGAAAATGGTGACAAAATAGTTTACGAGAATATTCCAAGTGTTGTGATACTGGTTGCTGGCTTAACTCTACTAAAAGGGCAACAATCTTTTACAAAAAAAATTTTTTTCCTGAGATGAGAGATTTTAACACTGCGACTGTTACATTTGATTACAAAGTATTTCTCTTTCTTCCCGTTTACCAGCTGTAACCTCCAGTGGAAAAATGTGCTTGTTTGTCCACCTCTGGATTTTAGTCTTGTTCAGAACTTGAGTGCACATCCATTTCACTCACCTGGCTTATTTTTATGCAGACTTAGCTCCTTGCCTCTCAGGCAGATGTACTCTGACTTCGAAGAATGTCGCCAATTTGTCCACTTCTATGATATGCTTTATGGAGAGGTAGTGGGTCCCTTCTTGTTATCCCCACAATGAGATTTAAATCCCACTTAGGGATTTAAAATGTAATTGTTGTTCCCTTGGCAGGACTAGACAACCCAATTATGTAAGAGCAGAATTTCTTTAACAGTTAAATAAATGAATAACAAAAAATCAATGCTCTATTGTTCATAATGAACTTATAATACACATACACTATTTCATACAAAAGTAAATGTTTGAGATGTTAATCTCGTCCCCACATGGGTCGCAATTTTTTTTTTTTATTTTAAATCCCCATTCAGGCTGTCATCTAGGGCCCTAACATAACCTAATGGTTAAAGGGGGTTTCTGGAACCTGAGCCTGGGAGATTTTGGTCCAAATGGTGGCACTTTGTGTCACCGGGTGTTAATCACCCGTTGTGCGGTCTTGGTGAGGTTGGACGTCACTCAATGTTTTAGATGCATTCTTCAAGCAGAAACTTTGATATGCTTATAATAATTAACAAAAAATTCATTCAGACATCTCTCAACTCTCTCAGGAACAAGAAATACATCACACATTGATATTTAATTAATTAACCTGTCCTCTAGTACCGAAAGAGTGAGGATGTCATCAGCATTTCTCTACATTAAATTGTTCTTTAATAGGGGCTCAATGTTAAAAAAAAAAGTTAAATTGACCACCCAATATGTAAAAGGAAAGAAAAAATAAAAGGCAAGAATGATCTTTGACATGGCAATGACAAACAAGAAAATTAACAAACATTATAGTGTGAATGACTATATATTATACTGCCATCAAGCGTATACAGCAAAATAAAGATTTACTGGGCACATATAAACTGAACCAAGAGTACTGCCATGTTAAAGTAAATAATGCACATAACTGTAGACAATTAGGACTGTAATGGGTTAAAACATTATGGTCTGAACACTTAGTCTGGATAGCATTAATACTTCAACCAAAGTAGAAGATGGTCTAAAGTTTACAAACTTACAATAGAGGCTATAGATGTTCAATATGGCCACTGTCATCTGCAGTCGCCGAACTCATCCCACATACAAAGAAGCATCTCTTGCATATCTGAGTTCCCTGCAACTGTGATACCCAAGTGATTGGTTACGCAGCTGCACTCTGGCGGTAGTATTGGAGACTTTAGATCAGGGGTTCTCAACCTGTGGGTTGCAATCCCTTTGGGGGTCGAACGATAATTCACAGAAGTCGATGACCATCGGGAAAACATATTCACTAAAGTTATGAAGTTGCAACAAAAACAATTGTATGGTTGTGGGTCGCCACAACATGGGGAACTACATTAAAGGGTCACGGCATTAGGAAGGTTGAGAACCACTGCTTTAGATCTTTCCCTCTCTCTTGTATGTAGTACATTAATATGTAAAGCATATTCAGGAAAATATAAATGAATGAGAGTGTATTCATCATTTTGAAAACACTGTATTCAAATATGGAACCAGGTAACTGAAACCTTCAAATGTCCACCCAATGTCCATCACTGTAAATTTCTGAGGGCCTGAATCCAATAAATCAAGACTGGGTGTAATATTACGTAAATAAAGGAGCCCTTTACTACAAATAAGTTATGAAAAGACAAATATACTGAAGACACCAATAACAGATTAAGCAGATGTAACACTAAAGACAAAAGTAATTAAAGTAACAGATCAATTTTAATGTTGACATCAAAATATAACAAAGATTTTTCCCCCTGTGTTGACATCAAATTAAAAAAATACCAGTCTTCTTTCGCAAACGCTGACATTAAATTTGGAAGATAAATGTCGTCTTTCCCCTATGATGACATCAAATTTAGAAGATTCTAAGGTCAATTCCCCTCTCCACAGGGTAGAAAAAGCACTGTAAAAAAAAAGGGGGGGCGGGGGTTGAATTCCTTTTACTGGTGATCCTTCCTCATCAAAATACATACTTAACTTCCTCTTCATCTGCGCTTGCCCCTTTAAATGGTTTTTGAAATGTTGTGCTGTAGTTCCCATCTAGGGTGCCACGTCGGCCCAACACATCCAATTAAGTGGCTTTTTACAACATGCTTGTTAAGGAAAAGTGTGACTATTATTTTCCCCTTGAAAATTGGGCCCCGGAATCCACATAGGGAATATACTTAACCAATTTAAGTTGTAATCAGGACTAGCCCACAAACAGATTCTCCTTTAGGCATTCTCCTGTGAATGTTGATGCCTCTCCCCCACAGCTTTTGCTTACAATAAAACTGCAGCCAAAACAAAAGCAAATACAATCTTGTAACATGCATGTCACATTCAGTCTTCACAGAAACAATGTTCACTGACAACATCCACATCTTCAGGCAATTCTTCAACATCCGCCAGCATTACTCATATTGAGCAATCAACACCATCATGTACACCCCGGTGAGCAGAGCTAGGATCTCCTTGATGCTCTGTCCAAACTTGGTGTCCTCCAGGAGTTCGGGGATCACCGAGACTGTGGCTATGTAGATGAATCCTCCTGCAGTGAAGGGGAGAATCCAAGCGGTGGCAGCCTCACCTATACCTTCCATGCATAAACTGCACACAGTCCCCAGCATTGCTCCTATGGCAGTGGAGAACTGCAGCATCATTGCCTGTTGATACACAAAATTACAGGTTAGGTGAATGCTGATGTTGACTTTGGAATCCATATCAGAACATTTCCACAAGCGCTCCCAATCTTCAGCAGCAAGTGCAGAGTGTTGATTTATTTCTGCCTCCACACAGGTGAATAGAATACAATGTTAGTTACTGCTGTAGGGAGGCTGATGAAGCGGACATGTTGAAAGCTTTCTGGTATCAAGTGGACAAAGCAACAGTACATATATACAGTCTGTACCTGCAGAGATCTAAAACAGATCTTTAAAATGGATGTGCAAGCAAGACTCAAGTTTTGGAACAAGACCAAAGTCCAGAAGCGCACTAACTGCCAGAACTTTCCACCTGAGTTTGAGCCAGTGAATGCTAAGAAGAAGAAGAAAAAGAAGACAAAAACTAAGAGGACGAAGACAAAGAAGACAACAAAAAGACAGCGAAGAAAAAGATGACGTGATTAACACCCCCGCCGAAGAAGAATAAGAAAAGAAGAAGAAAAGAAGAAGAAGGGTTTCCTTGAGTGGCTTTTTTATAAGCCAAGTTGGCTTATAATTTCTCCGTAAGCCTCAGTGATAGAGGTCATAGGCAGCATGAGTCACCTGACATATATTTGGTTTAGGCCCCGGGTAATGCATTCTATTCAATGTTTCACTGTGTACTTGTTGACTGATTCCTCTCTTTATATATCTTTACATAATTCAAAACACAAATATTCAAAACTCAGTGCTTGATTAAAAACTGTAACTGAAGGAAAAGATTTAGGCAGATACTTCTTAGGAAGTTAAAACACAGTGCACCCATAACAGCTACATTAATTACTACCCTGGGGTCGCCTGCTGCCCTGCATGGGTAAGAACTTACCTTTATAACAGATACTATAAATCATCATCATCTGGTTGTGTCATCATGCCACAAAAGGCTCACAGTCTATTCCTCTATTCCATTCTATCCCCTGCAAACCTACCGATATCATTGATGGAATCCAGTCCAATCCCTTGGCCTCTCTCAATGTTGATCTTAAGGTTTCTCGCGGGCATCCTTGTTTCCTCAACCCATTTGTGTTATGCCTATCTGGTGACAGTCTCTTTTTTCTCAGGATACCATGCAGTTTCTAGCTGTATTCTTTTGTGAATAGGTTTCTAATTTTGAAAGTTTGACAGCAGTGGCTCATACATCAAATATTATTCACCTGTCTGCTATTCTATTCTCTGTGTGGTTGTGGTCTACCTATTTCTTCAACCCTGTGTGGCCAGTGTAAGGACATTTATACTACTGGCAGGAATCAATGATATGTCCTATCCAGCATCTGCAATTTTTCCTCACCTTTTAATTTTTAATTTGCTAAAATATGTCTCTCCCCACAAGTAATTCTGTCATATTTTATTCCTTCTATTGAATACAGAATTGACACCACTCAACTCTGGACATTCCCACTCGTGTCCCGTCTCCTTCCTCAGTAGCTAACGAAGAGTCAACACTAACAGTATCGGTTGCAACCTGATTAAAATCTGCCTTTTTTTCCCCCTCAGTGTTGAATATCTTCCAGAACCTCTAATTATCCTTCCCCCTCACCTTTTTTTTTCAATGAATGAATTCTCTGTTTATTCTATTACACTGACCATTTGACCCCAGTGAGCCCTCACCACATCTGATTTATCATAAAGTAGGTGACTGCCCAAAGGAGTGGCAGCAGCCAATCTATCAGCCTGCTTGTTACACTGCACACCCGAATGCCCTGGACAGAAAATCCATGCCAAGCTCTTAGTTATTAATTGAGTTTGTGGTTTGAACAATGGATCACCATCATGGCACAGGGGTAGTAACCCATAAGTTCTCCGTTCTTCTTTTAACTTAAGTCTGAGTCCGAAGAAGCTCAGCACGGTGCACAGGATCTGTAACACTGGCAAGGATCCTGAAATACTTAGCGTAAATTTGTAACTCCAAATTTTTGCCCAGGCAGCGCCGTTAGGCTACTCTTTTTGATTTCCAACTACCAAGGGATTTTTTACGTGCGCAACAATGCACACGGGCGTCCGATCTCACCACCCAGAGACCAGGGGGAACTACTAGAAGTCCAAGTGGCAAAATCCCAGCCCTTAACGGGAATTGAACACGGAACCTCTAGCACTCAAGGCAGACACCATCCATCAAGAACATGCAGCCCCCATTATCTGAGTCTTACCCCTCTACACACAGGAAGCCAGTCTGAGTTTTCCAAAGTAGGCTCTGTGAGTCCATTATAATTTCAACATGTTGGACATTGATGCTCTCAAGCCAACAGACAACTGCTGTTACTGCCTCATCCTTCATTCTCATAATGAATGTTGTAACCAAACACATATTATACAACATAAAAACTGTTAACATCACAGATGTGGCAGATTTAAACTTTTGAGTGTTGTTGTAAGTTTGCAAGAGATAAATGAGATAAAGACAAATAATTGAGAAATGTGTAAGTTCAAGCATGTCAGATTTGAAAGTGTAAGTTCATGTATCTGTGAGATGAACATACTTACCCTTTTTTTGCTGCATCCTGACTGGATGAGAATGGCAAAGTCTCCTATCTCATGGGGTATCTCATGAAGAAATATTGTTATAGTAGTAATGATTCCCACATTCTGTCCTGCTAGAAAAGAAGCTCCTATAGCCAGACCGTCAGTGAAATTGTGAGCAAAGTCTGCAGCCAGGTTCAAGTAGCCTGCAACTTTGATGTCTGAGACAACAAGATGAACAGCTGCGAAAGAGCAAACATAACAGCATAACACAACATTAGCCTTTTTTTTAAATGGAAAGGTGGGGGGGGGGGGGGGGAGGTTTAGTTATTTACCACACTAAGCAAGCATTTACTGAAATAGGCAGAAGCAGTTACAATAATAATTAACAACCCCACCTTGTGCCAACAAAAAGGCCATGTGAATAACTTGAAAATTCTGTGGTTATCATGTTGCTCACTTTAATTTCCATTGATGGGATGTACAAAATAAAGACAATGTGATTTGTGTATCCTAAAGGATCTGCTAATTTGTTTGTGTGTGCTTCATTATATGTTGATGTAACTGTGTGTGTGTGTGCGCTTCATTATATGTTGATGATAACTCTGTATGTGTGTACTTCATTATATGTTGATGTAACTCTGTAGTGATGCCTCTAAGACAGAGTAGTAGTTGGCAACCATCATTCCCTGTGGACCATAGTTTTACCGCTGATTTTGGGAACGGTGTCTGCTATGACTGTAAAGTCAAATGAGGAAGTAGCAGTCTCGGACACACAGTCCACATTAAAATGTTGATACACTATCCTTCTGAGGCTTGTTTTCTCTTTAGATGTCTCCTCTTTATAGCTTGCTGCCTTTGGCCTCTTTCAAACTGTGACAGTCGGTCTTTTACTATCTGCTTCCAAATGAGTCGATCTGCAGCTGATCTCTCTAAAGTGTCTGTGCTAATGTTGATATCTTTCAGATCACATTTGGATATGTCCTTATAGCGTAGCTTTGGCTTTCCTGCCTTATCAGTTCAACATACAGGAGATCCTTTAGAATAGGACCGTCCTCCATGCGAGAGACGTGTCCCAGCCAACGCAGAGAAATGTGCCAGGCAACAAACTGTGCAAAAGATTGCTTGTGCCTGCACTTCTGAAAGCATTATTGAAAGAGGACAACCTGATCAAGCGCCTGTATAGAGACAAGTTAAAAACCGATATCATAGCCCTAGGGCCACTTTCACAAGTGCTGCATCCCCATCTTCAGCAACCAGCAAAGAATTGTACCAGAAGCTGCATAAAAACTTAAGAAATAGAAAATGTATTGAACCTGAACATTTCTTTGTACTGAAACTGGAGGTACCTCCCATGTGGGTTCCGGGGCCCCACTTTGGAGATCACAATAGACCCACTGCTTTCCCAACAAGCATGTCATAGGAGTCAACTAACTGGGGGTTTAAACAGTCAAAATACAAATAAGTCAGATCTGTAGAATGAATGTGCATGCAACAGGTTCTAGAACAAGACTAAAGTCCAGAGGTGGATGAACAACCAGAACTTTCTGCTGGAGTTTACAGCCAGTGAATGCAAAGGAATATTCAATAAAGAATGGCTTATAAACAGCATCTTGTCTCGGAAGCTGAAATATTTGGGTAATTTCAAGCACCATGGCGGATTTAAAAAAAATATATTATAGCAGAAGGCATGGTATCAGGAAGGAGGGGCAGGGGCCGACCAACACGAATATGGGCACAGGATATAACTGCCTCCTTGAATTTGAAAGTATATGAGGCGGGAGAGCTGCCGAGAGACTGAGTTTCTTTCAGGTAGACTGTGATGAGAGCGACATTCTGCAAAGGATCTGCTACACGATGATGATGAACTTGAAGAAGATGAAGAAACTGGAGGCAGCAGGTAAACAGGACCACACACAAATAAAGTAGAACCAACAAATACAACAAAATGAAACTGTCACATTACCAGAACTATCATCTGTTGCTGATTCTTCTGTTTTACTTGTAGTTCCCGAATCTCCACCAACAATTCCTTTGTTGTCAACTGTTTTTGACTTATCAACTGTTTTTGTCTTTTCATCATCTTGTTCTTTAACATCTTCATCTGTCTTATCTTTGTCTGTACTTTTAACGTCTGATTTTACCTCTTCCTTATCTTCATCCTCGTCATCACTTTGCTTGGCTTTACTCTTGACTTTCTGTTTTGATGGTTTGTCTACGGGCTTCGGAGGACTTGTACCGTGTGAATGCCCATGGCCATGACTGTGTCCATCCCCACCTTTCACAAGCCTTACAAATTTCTCCACAATTAAAAAGGCGACAATACCAGACAAGACCCATAACCCTACCCCCAAATCATGACCATGAGGGCTGTGTGAGTGTCCGTGATCGGAAGAAGTATGTTCATGTCCATGCCCTTCCTCGCCATGAGAGTGAGGTGAAATGGCATGGGGAATCAAATGCAAGAAAGCATCACCCAACAATCCACCTGAGGCAAAGCTTAGCAATACCTTGAGCAACTCCTGGTGCTCATCTGCATTTTCTAGCGGAATAAACAGCAGTATAAGTACGGGGGCTGCACTGATTAAGGCTGTAGCTCCCAGCGCTTTTAGCCATACTATACTCGACTGTTCGCGTTTTTTGCTAGGTTTAGCAGGATCCTGCCAATATGCTTGTGCATCTTCTTTCTTTCCCTGATCACCATGGTGATCGTGTGAATGACCATGGTGGTCATGAGCGTGGCCGTGGTGTTCATGAGCATGGCCGTGGTGTTCATGAGCGTGGCCGTGGTGTTCATGAGCGTGGCCGTGGTGTTCATGAGCGTGACGGCCGCTGGGCTTAGCGCTGTCTGCTACTTTCTTTGGTGCTGGAGGCGCATTCGCATTGGCTTCTCGGCTGTACTTGAAAGACGGTGGTTCATGGTTATGTTCGGGATCATCGTGTGAATGGCCATGGTGGTCATGACCGTGTCCATGAGTGCTTACCAAGTGAAAAATACCTACACCTAATAAAAACGTAAACAAGCAAATCCACCGACTAGACAGTCGTCTTCCCCTATCACTGGACGGCGCCATTGTTAGCTCAAGTAAAGTTTACGTGGCCCCGACAGAGACAGTTTTTTTTTTCTTCAAAATGATAACTATTTATTACAATAAAAGAAATGCTCCTCAAAATCTTTATCAGCTAACGATGTGCAACGATTATTATTAAATAATTTTTGTTTTACTAATTAAAATATTATATTATAATCAGATGATCTGTTATAATATATTGGGGCAAAGAATTTAATGTATTTTTTAAATAAAATCATTTGCCAACTGGCACACAGGTACGTGGCACTAAAACAAACAAAATTATCATAAATTACTTCAAAGCAGAGTTTAAATATACATTTACAAATGCTAATTAGCATTATTATGCAGGAAACAAATGTAAATACATAGTAATTAAGATACACACATACCACGTGTACCAATAATAATCTGACGCTCTGATTAGCAAATAAATTAAATAGTAAGCTTCAAATAATATGAAATGAATCTCAAAATACTCTAAAAGATCATTTCTATACGGTTAAAGGAGGAATCTTAGATCCCTTTAAAAATATTGGGCAGCAGACAACCCCCCCCCCCCTTTTTTTTCCCCCAATATATGTATCTTTATATTTGTGAGGTGGTGAGGAATGATCGGTTATGGGCGGGTGTAGGAACCCCAGTGTTTTGTCAGCTATATGCTGAAGGGATATGAGCTCCCACCAAAATTTTTCCCCTGGAGGTAATCTGGTAATCTGGTAATCCTAGTTTCAGCATCATAGCAAACGGGTCACCCCATTGTTGCTCCGCTCCTGTGCCAACGAAAAACACTCGTAGCTCACAGTGTCACACCATGCACTCAACTCAGAAGCTGGGTGACGAAACTATATCCTTCCAGTCTACAAATGTCTTCCCCTGGAGGCTGACCCCCCCCCCCCCCTTTTCCTCCCTTTCCACCACCTCCACCACTGCTACCACCACCACTAAAATACTACTACCATCATCAACACTACCATCACCCCTAACTTTTAACTAAGGCAGGGTGGGATTGGTTTCTTCGAAGTCGGAGTGCACTTTCCCGAGTGGCAAAGAACAACCAGCTGCACACAAATAAGCCGGTAAAACAGATGTACGCGCAAAACTCAGGCCCTGGCACAAAACCAAAGTTCAGATGGACGAACAACCAGGTCTTTCCGCCGGCGCATACTCTCGGTAAACAAAGAAGAAGAAGAAGAGGAAGAAACCAGCTCATCTTTTTTAAATATTGTGCTTATTTGTTTGACGACTGTTAGTTCTTCGTCTCTCATGCAGATACATCCCGATTTTGTAAGAAATGCCACTAGACGACAAGTTACTTCGTAGCCGTTTTGTACTGTTCAAATATAATTTGGCTGCAAAACAGTGAATCTTGGAATGTGAGCAAACAAATTACGAAGAGTTTTGAGGCAACGAGAATAATGTTGCGAATACCCTGGACTGCTAGAATAACTAACAATGATTGCGTAGAAAAAGCTTATGAATGTAGAACGTTATACACAACCACGAGAAGGAGACACAGTTTTTTAGTTATGTGATGAGAAAAGCAACACGGCAAAATATAGAGACCACTGGAAAGATCAATGGTAGAAGAGACAGAGGCAGACCAAGAGAAATATGATGGATGGCTCAAGACAGTGGCATGGATGAATGTCATCGGTGGAATTTATCTAGAACATCAAAGACCGAGATATGTGGAGATGCATGAACGCCTATGCCAGTTCGCAAGGCACTTGATGGTGAATGTTGAATGTTGAATAAAGGATCGACATCACAGCACTCGGGACACTTTCATAATTGCTATGTCCCTATCTTCAGCAGCAAGCGAAGAGTTCCAATTCCGATGGCACCATTAACCGTCTGTATATCCGTCTCATCCTTCCCCTGAGTGTTGAGCGTCGGCCAGATCCCCTGGTAACTCCTCGCAGCGCCATTCTCATCATACCGTAATGATCTATCTGCGCCTCTGCACTGTTTCCTCCTTCTCAAAAGGCCCTCAAAATATCTAGAAAAGACATAAAACCGAACGAAAAGTATATCAGTAAGCTTCACAATACAACAAACACAAACAAGAGATTAACGTTGCGGCTATGGATTCTTTATCAGCCCATACATAAATAATACAATACCACACAAATACACAAAATCACTTAGCTAAGTTTCTCGAAGCGGCCTTGTCGGTGTCTTGTCAGTAGACTGGACCTCACAATATCTAGCTTGTACTTGATGATGATGATGATATAGCTATACGGTTAAACAGGGTTTCCGAAATTGTTACCTGTTTGATTGCTATGCTTGAGTTTTTTTTTTTTTTTTTTTATTTTTTTTTTTTTACAGTTTAGAAGGACAACTAAAAGAAAACATCTAGGTTCATCTGGGTAAATATTCGACATCACCACCTTCAGGATAAGCCCATATTAGCTCTGCCCCTCTCCAATAGCCAGCGAAGAGTCTCCTTACTAATGGTGCTTGTTGTCATATGGTTAACTATTAGTCGTTCCTGTACCCCCAGTCTTGAGTGGCTTCCAGAGATGCCAGACACTTCCCGCTGCATCATTCTCTCCAGGTACCAGTTTCAGCTTCCTAATTAGCCACCTTCTACGGCATGTTTGTTAGCGGGCCACGGGTCTATTCTTTTTCTCCCCAAATGTTGTACCGGTGCCCACCGGTTTTTCCTAAAAGAGAAACAAAATATTATCCCCGTGTGGGTTCCGGGGCCCTATTATAGGGACATCAAATATAGACCCACTGCCTAACCAGAAGCATGCCGTAAGAGTCGACTAATTGGGAGCTTCCTTCGAAGTCGCGATGCATATGCGTGAGAATCGAGGAACCAGCAGTCTGCATACAAATGAGTCAGCCCTGTAAAACGGATGCACACACAACACTCAGGTTCTGGAATAGGACTGAAGTCTAGGAGTGGATGAACAGCGAGAACTTTCCACCAGAGTTTACAGCTGGTGAAAGCAACGAAAAGGAGAAAGAAATGATTACAAAAATAATAATAATTAACCCGTTACGTCACAGAGGGGCCCCTGATGTAGGCGACATTTCCAGAGTAGCCTCCCGTGATCGACGCCCCTACGGTAGATGGCGATGACGAATCACAGCAGCCACCATTTTTAGCAATACTGTCTATAACTATAAACAAACCACAGAGCTGCTGACACTTCGTTGACAAATTTCTTTCACAGCCATCTCTTCTGTGGTTTCAATAGTAGTTCTTTTACTAGATAAACAGAGAGAAAGATCAAAGAGGCAAGTAGCTAAATTTGAATTGGATGTGATTAATTGTCTGCGTTTTGAAATTAATTAAGCAAGAAGGTCACTCACATTAAATTAGATTTTTGTGGAGTGGTAACAGTAGTAACACTGGTAGTTCGTATGTCACTGTATGTATCATTGTCTCCCTACTGTTTCGTTGTCTTTGTTTTGTGGAAGTTATTAAAATTACAAGTTCTTATGAATGTTTCTGGTGTTATTGTAAATTTGGAAGTTATTTTGCCATTTAAAATTTAATCAAGTATGGCTGGTTTTCCCTGTGAAGCACCCCACCATCTCTCTTTTTCAGAGTAGACAGAACTTGACTAAATTTAACCTTTTAGAGACGGGAGGCTATTTGGAGTTTTAGTGCCAAGAAAACGGATTTATCAGGAATAGATTCTTTTAATTGATACACACAAAATAATAAAAAATAAAGCGTTTAATTAACATACAAAACTATATAAATTATCGAGCCAGAAAATATACCCTAACAGGGCCTCAGTCATGTGTCTATTGCGCACTTCCATCGTCTTAAATGGGCACTTCTGGCGACTTCCGCCACCGTGAGAGTATCCCCCATGCCACTAATGCAGCGGGGATTGGGGCTAAACTAGACGACTAGGACTCACGAGCAGCAGCTACCGCATTTCCTGCAGCTTCCTTCATTTTATTTGCTTAATTACTTATTACTTAATTACTTACTTATTACTTATACTTACTTACTATGAGTTTCCGGTTTGTGTCAAGATGGCGGGACGTGTTTCTCTCTAGCTCGGCGCATATCGGTTGATCGACGGTCCAACAAGCTGTCATCGCAAACCACCAATTGTTGTAGAATCAGATTTCTGGCTCTAACTGCATGATGATTCGTTCTAATCTGTTAAATTTGTCATCTTCATACGAAAAATACAGCACGCTAGACAAAGAAGTGAAATCAAATGCAAGGAAAGACAAACAGAACTTCATACACAACCTCGCCTCCGATGCTGAAACAGCTGCCAAGATTGGAAACAACAATGCCATATTCCATATTATGAAACAACTGTGCAATCACTCACCTACACTAAATACACCCATTAAAGACAAGCAGGGTAAACTACTGCTATCCGACGACCAACAAACAAAGCGATGGGCAGAACATTTCAAGGAAATATTAAATAGACCAAATCCTGACATCATTCCCAATCTAGAAGAAGAAATTATTACACCGACACTAGTTGCCTCCAGCGAGTCATTCACAATAGAGGAGATTAAAACAGCTATTAAAAAATTAAGAATAAACAAAGCTACCGGAGAGGACAACATCTCAGGGGAAATGCTCAAAGCAGCGGATGAAAACACCCTGCAACATTTGCTCCAGCTGATGGATGAAATCTGGCAAAACGAATACCCACCACAACAATGGAAAGATGGTGTAATCTTCAAATTACCTAAAAAAGGTGATTTATCCGATTGTAACAACTGGAGAGGCATCACCCTGCTTTCGATACCAGGGAAACTATTTTGTAGTATGCTACTAGAAAGATTGAAAAAATCCATAGATGAAAGATTAAGGGAAGAACAAGCCGGTTTTAGATCCAAGCGGTCATACATAGACCACATCTTTACTCTTAGAATAATTGTTGAAGATTCTACAGAATTCCAGTCGAAATTATTGATAAACTTTGTCGACTTCCAAAAAGCCTTCGACAGTATCCATCGTCCAACACTCTGGAAATTGCTTAACATCTATGGTTTCCCCATCAAATATATCAACATCATAAAATCTTTTTATAATGAAACACGATGCTGTGTAAGAACTGATTCCAGCAATTCTGACTGGTTCCCGGTGGAAACAGGAGTGAAGCAAGGCTGTGTCCTATCGCCGATGCTTTTTGGTATAGCAATCGACTGGGTCATGCGCAGGTGCATAAATAACGCAAATTTAGGCATTACATGGGTTGACAAAATTCTGGAAGACCTAGACTTCGCCGACGACATAGGAGTGCTATGTCGTCGGCGAAGTCTAGGTCTTCCAGAATTTTCTTCCAGAGTTCAGAACACACAGACGCCCAAGAAAAAATCAATCGACTCCAGAATTTCTCAGAACAAATTGGACTCCAAATTAACACCGCAAAAACAAAAATTCTAGACCTTACCAACAGTTCAGTTGATTTCACGCTGAACAACAACAGACTTGAAAAAGTCAAAAGTTTCACTTATCTAGGGAGCAAGATGTCATCTACAGGAGATACCGCGACAGAAATACCATTTAGAATAGCACTGGCATCTAGTGCCTTCAATAAAATGTCCAACATCTGGAAATCAAAGACACTTAGCAAACACACAAAACTCAAGATCTTCAATTCTTGTGTGATTCCAGTACTAACCTATGGATGCGAGAGCTGGAAATCAACGAAAACTCTAGACACAAAATTAGACAGTTTTGAAAATAAATGCCTTAGAAGAATACTAAATTTCAAATCGTCAGATTTCCGAACCAATACACAAATAAGGCAAGAATCCAGGCAAGAGTATGTGTCTAATTTTATACGAAAACGCCGCTGGAACTATGTCGGCCACACCCTTAGAATGGATAAATCAAGACTTCCTTACCAAGCCCTCATTTGGACACCACAGGGGAAAAGATCTCGAGGAAGACCAAAGGAAACCCTACGTAGAACTATCATCAGGGAAGGCTCACTCATGGGCCACTCAAACATCCAAGACCTACAACAGATTGCAACGAACCGCCATGCATTGAGAGTCATGACCTCTGCCCTATGTGCCGCACTCGATGCAAGAGGAAAGACTAACTAATTACTTAGACAAACATGACTTAATTGAACAATCATGGACGGAATCCAGTACAACATCTTTGGCCTGTCTCATCGGTGCCATGTTCATCTTAGAATTGCTCTTGGATGTCCACATTTTCCCACTCTTTTCCCCAGCACACTGAATCTTTTTCGTCTTCACGTTCACCAGCTGTAAATTCCAGTGGAAAGTTCTGGTTCTTAGTCCACCTCTGGACTTTAGTTTTATTCCAGTACCTGGATGTTACATGCACAACAGACCTTTCAGGCAGGTGCACTCCAATTTAAAAAAAAAAAATAATAATAATTCCTTATCTGCACAGTTCATGGCAACTGCACTATTTATCATGCAGCTTTAAATGTAAGGGCTCATGATCGCCTCACCCCCCCCCCCCCCCCCCCACCTACGCCACCCCTCTTCCTCGGTCATACACTGCCCTAAAAGTAGTAAATACCTGCGGTAAAAATAGATCAGTCTGTGTGTAATCTATGGAAAGGGATTGGAGCACATAGGAAAATGATCCTGTATGTAGCCTGTAGGAGAAGATTGGAGCACATTGAGGTACCCGTGTTTTGTAAAGTAATCCTGTAATAACCTCATATTTCAATTTTAATAATTCTGTCATCATCATCGGTTTCCACTTATGCTGTTAAGGGTTGTGGGGAGGAATAGTTTGTGATCCATTGCTTGATGGGCAGCAATGGCTACTATAATTCCGTGTTGATGTAGAAGCTTTTTGTCATCAGTCCATGTTTTCCTAGGACGGCCTCTTGCTTTCACTTCAAATCTGTTCATGTGTAGTGCCTGCATTGGTAGTTGTTCTGGCTGCATTCTTACTAAATGACCAAACCATTTGACCTTCTGTTTCTCAAATAATTTGCTGCGTGGTGTTGTTCCTTCAGTCTGTCTGATAATTTCATTTCTAACCTTGTCTCGGATGGTTAAGTTGGCGGCTTTTCTCAGGCATCTCATTTCACAAGTGGTAATTTTTGTGTGTAGGTTAGTCTTTTATAATGTCTAAGTCTGGCACTGGTTGCACAGTAATGGTATGAATATGCTGTTTATAATCTGTTTCTTGACGTTCATACTTATGTTTGGATGTCTTAATAACGGTGTCATTTGGTATATAAGTGCATTGGCACATTGGCATCTTGTTTCCATTTCCGATCTATTCTTCCATCCTCCAAGAATATACTTCCTACATATTTAAATTCTTTAACTTGCTTCAGACATGTACCATTCAGCCAGATATGTAGCGGACTAGGCATTCTGCTGACCTGAATTACTTCAGTTTTGGTAGTATTTATTTTCATGTTACATCTTCTGCATGTTGAACTTAACCTGTTCAACTGGTCTTGCAGTCTATTCCCCTCATTGTAGAACAGGCACTGATCGTCTGCAAATAGTAGCTCATTATAATATGTGGATCTAGTTCTTCTGGAAAGTTAAGTTCCTTATTTTCTGGGTCGACTGCTTTTAAGCTGGCTTCTTTGGATATTTTATTTGTGTATATAGTGTTTAAAAAAAACAACTCAGTTATCGGATGGTGCTTTGAGGTTTAAAAAATGTATGGTTATCTAATGCTTTGCTTTGATTAGCTGATGAGAAAGCTGGTCAACCTAAAAACTATCCATGATCCGGAAGCAAAATTGTTCGATTGAGCCCTGAGGTATTCTTGTGTGCAATTTAAGTTTGATGCATTCAGTTACAGAGATTTAAAATGTCAAAAATTATCTGGCTTTCAGTTGCTATGCATTTTTGGGGTTTTTATTTTAGTAGCATGCATCATCGGAAACTATATGTTTCCTTTTTCAAACAGTGTGTATTGTTTTCGAGATTGATTTTCATTGACAGATGCTCTTAACATGTTCACCTTATTCATTTCGACAGACAAATCCAAAATGGCAGCTGGTCCATACAACTACAGCTACATCTTTAAATACATCATCATAGGGGACATGGGAGTTGGGAAGTCATGTTTGTTGCACCAGTTCACAGAGAAGAAATGTAAGTATGTCCTTCAGATGTTAAACATTACAAGAACAGCCACTGTTCCTTGCCTCGTCTGCTCCCATTCAGCTGTTTTGTGTTCACCGTTTTTGTATCTCTGATATCCGCCAATCTCTCTCTGTACCACAAGTGTTGCCAGTTTATTAGCCCTCATAATGCCAGCAATTAGTGATAATTTTAAATGATTATGAATTTCATTGCTGTTTTCCGCTCTCCATTCTCTGCTGTTTGCATCTTTGATGGGTCCAGAGATTTGCTCTTAAATTATGTTCTCATAAGTTTTTTTTTTTCGTACTATATATTTCAGATCATAGAGAACAGTGGATCTTGTTAGTGTTGATAATAATAATGGTGTAAACATTGATCTATTGTCACATGAAATATGTGTCTTTTCTATGATTTGTTTCGAGCTTTCAGCATATGTAAATTTTGTCATTTGCTTTTCTTTCAGTTATGGCAGACTGCCCTCATACAATAGGAGTCGAGTTTGGAACCAGGTACAGTCTATGTTCTCGCACATGATTAATTTTTTTTTGAGTTGATTTACTTTTGTCTTCTTGTTTTGCTTTTCAATTCCCTATGTGGCATAGATCAGGTAGATTGTTTTTAGACCTTATGATATAAACCTCAAACGGTGTTAACAATTTAGTGCAGTTAATACTTTCTGAATGCCCTGGTACCAACTGCCACACAGAGCCATGCTGAAGAAATTTAATGTAACACAGAGCAAGAGGAAGACCATGCAAGAGATGGAGTACACCATCAGGAGCAGCCTAATAGAAATGAGCACCAACTTGTACAGTGCATTGGAAAAAGCACACAAACGATCCTTACATCTCCCACCAAAACCTCGCTGAGGTAAATGGTGGAAGATAAGAAGAAGAAGAAAAATCCTTTCTTGTCAGAAAGATAAGTATTCAAAGGAATTGACTCTGTTGTCCCAGTGAGGGTTCCAGGGTACCATTTTGGAGAACATAGAATAAATTCACTGCATTCCTAACAATTATCTTGTAGGAGGCTAGTAATTAGCAGTGTTTCTTTCTGTGTCAGAGTGCATCTGGCTGATAGTCAAGGTACCGATTGTTTGCATACTTCTACTTCCTTCTTTTTCGTGTTCACCGGCTATTAACCCTGGTGGAAAGTTTTGATTGTTCCGGAATCTGAGTGTTGCGTGCACATCCGTTTTACAGATCTGACTTATTTGTATACACTCTGTTGGTTTCTTAACCCTCAGGCAAATGCACTCCGACTTCGAAGGAAACCGCCCATTAGTTGACTCTTACGACATGCTTGTTGGGGAGGCAGTGGGTCTATTCTTGTCTTCCCCACAATGAAGCCCCCAGAAACCACACGTGGAGTCTGTAGACAAATACGCCAGATCTGTGCACACAAAACTTAAGTTCTGGAACCAGACCAAAGTCCAGAAGTGGACAAACAACCAGAACTTTGCACCAGAGTTTACAACTGGTGAATGCTAAGAAGAAGAAAGTGTTATATTAGAGAATGATTGAGTTTGCATAACAGAAAAATCAGACTCATAATTAAAACACTGTTGTATTTATTAATTTTTGCTTTTCAGAATCATTGAGGTAGCGTCGCAGAAAATCAAATTACAAATCTGGGACACTGCTGGCCAGGAGAGATTTCGAGCTGTTACACGGAGCTACTATAGAGGCGCGGCAGGAGCTCTTATGGTTTATGATATTACCAGGTGAGTTTAGTTCTAGTTCTAGCCAGGACATTCTCCACTTGTTAGCGGTGTCCAGAGTTTAATTCCAAATGGGAAAACAAAGAAATTTTGAATTGTGCCGTCTCCACAATGGGGGATTGGCTGCAATGTGTCCACTGATGACTATGGAAATATTATGTGATGAGTTGAGTTGAGTCAAGAATTGACATCACAGCACTCAGGGCATTTGCATGTGTGCTCCGTCCTCATCTTCAGCAGCCAGCGCAGAGTTCTAATACTGATGGTACCGGTCATGATCTGGTTATATGTCCATCTTGCCTTTTCTCTGAGTGTAGTGAACCGGCCAAACCCTCAGGTGCATATTATGTAATGAGTACCCAGGCTCATCAACAGTGTGATTTCCGTACCACTGTTTGAGAACGGTCGTTTTCTTCTAATTTTTTAAAATCCCTAAATCACCCATTGTGGGAATCAAATGTTTTTTGTCTCTCTTGTCAACTACGGCCGGTAGACAACAGTAGACGGCCGGTTAGTTGGAGTTCTGTCCCCTGGCTGCAGTGCTATTACGGACTGGACAGGAGGAAACGAAACAAATGACATAATTACTGTGTGTTGGCGATAGACAGCGTGCACTGCCCTGCTATGATCATACGGTTTGGGTTACGGTTTGGAGTAGGGTTTGGGTTAGGGTGTGGGTTAGGGCGTGGGTTAGGGTTACGGTCAGTCTCGCTACATCTCGTCTTTGCACAGACAGCGTGCACTGCCCTGCTATGATCATACGGTTTGGAGGAGGGTTTGGGTTAGGGTGTGGGTTAGGGCGTGGGTTAGGGTTACGGTTAGTCTCGCCGCATCTCGTCTTTGCACAAACTTAAAGTAGCAACCCTAACCCTGAACTTAACCCTAACCCTAAACCTAACCTACACCCAACCCCTAACCCAAACCCTAATCGTATGATCATAGCAGGACAGTGCACACTGTCTATCACCAACATACAGTAATTATGTCACTTGTTTTGTTCCCTCTAATCCACTCCGTAATGCGTCACAAGAAGCGGTAATTGAACGCGGTCGCTAATTTGAGTCGCAGCGCGGGGCCTGCTAGGCATGTCGACCTCACTTTGTTTTTTAATTCGTGCCTTCTCCAGTCCGTAATTGCACTGCAGCCAGGGGACATAACTCTGACTAACCGGTCGTCTACTGTTGTCTACCGGCCGTAGTTGACAGGAGAGCCTGTTTTTTAGTAAGTTCTGAGCCACAGAGCCGCACAATGAGAAATGAAAAACTAAAACCTTGTGGTATTGAATGCTTGGATAAACTACGGCCGGCTCCAGCTGACGGGATGTGCTGCTGACGTCACCGGGTCAGGCTAACGATGCGTTAAGGCAGTGGTTCTCAAACAAGAAATAAACTATTTTCGACAGTGGCGAGGGAAGACAACTTAAGTTTTATCTTTTAAGTATCTACAGGCCTTCTTTAATAATTTCAAAATTTTTAGCGGACTTTTCTTGATTATAGCATCGGCACCCAGTTTGAGAACCGCTGCTTTAACGCATTGTTAGCCCAACCCTGTGACGTCAGCAGCCCGGCCCATCAACTGGAGCCGGTCGTGGATAAACATATCTGTGCACATTCATTTATTCATTCATTGTCTTGTTGTACCAGTTTATGTCACATAGAGCTTGCAGTCTGCCTCTGTTCTGTTCCTTCCTGTGAAATCACTTTGATATCATAGATGGAATTCTTCTTCTTCTTTGCCCACTGTCTGTAACCTCTGGTGAAAAGTCCTGGTTGTTTGTCCATTTGGACTTTGGTTTTGTGCCAGGGCCTGAGTTTTGCGTCTGCATCCGTTTTACTGGTTTATTTGTGGGCAGATTATTGTTCCTTGCCGCTCAGGCAGATGCACTCCGACTTCGAAGGAAGTCCCCACTTAGTCGACTCCTAGGACATGATTGTTGGGGAGGCATTGGGTTTTTCTCCACCTCCCTCCCCACCCCACCCCCTACAATGGGGCCCGGAACCCATAGGGGGAGGATGGAATTCATTGCAGCACCTTTGGCCTCTGTCGTCATCTTAGAGTTTCTCTTGGGCGTCCATGTTTCCTCAATCCCTCTATTTCCCATTTCACTGTCTGTTCATTTCTTCTTTGTATGTAAATGATGTTTTAAGGGCAAATAGATCATCTGCAATGCACCAGGTTGAGTATCATTTGTTTCTATATTGTTGTCACTGCAGTCTTACTGGAGCTAGCTTTCTGCAGGAAATATTTTCCCCTTGTGGGTTTGTTCCTATATTGTTGTCACTGCAGTCTTACTGGAGCTAGCTTTCTTCATAAAATATTTTCCCCTTGTGGGTTTGTTCCTATATTGTTGTCACTGCAGTCTTACTGGAGCTAGCTTTCTTTATAAAATATTTTCCCCTTGTGGGTTTGTTCCTATATTGTTGTCACTGCAGTCTTACTGGAGCTAGCTTTCTTCATAAAATATTTTCCCCTTGTGGGTTTGTTCCTATATTGTTGTCACTGCAGTCTTACTGGAGCTAGCTTTCTTCATAAAATATTTTCCCCTTGTGGGTTTGGGCATGACATTTGAAAAGGGGAGTGGGGAAAAGACCCACTGGCCATTAACAAGTGTGTCGTATCAGTGACTGATTAAGAATTGCTGAAATCGGATATATTGTGCCAAAAGGTACAGATATTGCAGTCTAGATGTAAACCACAACACTGTGTGGCAATTGTCCTTTTAAGGATGAAGGCAGAAGTGGACATGGGTAAAATTAAATCTCTGTGGTTTTGGTCTTTGGAGATGAACACATTTATGTACATTAAGGATGTTGTACATGCATTGCACCAGAGTAAGTACCGATTGTTTCTGTATTTTTGTCAGTGCAGTCCTAGCAGCTGAGCTTCATCGATATAATGTTTTATTTTTGTAGTTCATGTCATGCGGTTTAGGTCCTCATGTCCATTGGCAGCATCTTTCTAGTGTAAAAGTAAAGTAAAGGACCTTTTTCCAGACCTTTGGCCGTATCAGGTATATAGGGCAAGACCTATATTTTAAAGACCAATCGGCACTTGTTGGGTGTACTACCACTTATTTTTCTTTTTCTTTTTCCAGACCCTGTTTTGCCTTTAATTATTACATTTTGAAGAGGTATCTAGTGCGAGCCTGGATATGTGCTGGTATTCATGTCTTTGGATGTTCCGTCTTGAAGCAGGTCTAACTGAACCATTTGATCTGTTGTCTCTTGATGGGGTTTAGCATGGTTTCTCATCTGCCAATCATTTTGTAATCTCCGGGTTATATTTTAATTTCAAACATACAATTTTCAGACGGAGCACATACAACCACCTAAGCAGTTGGTTGACCGATGCCAGAAACCTAACAAACCCCAACACAGTAAGTGCCGAATCTGTTTGCCGTTGTCATCTTTAAAAATCATCTATCGTCTCTTTGGTTAAAAAAAATAAAAGTACCGTTTATACACATCCAGATTTAAAAAAAAATTTTTAACAGCTGCACTAGTCAATGAAGTTGTGAAATGACAGTGTACTTTTACAAACACTAAATTATTAAAGGATTTCTGGTTGCTTAGAAAGTAACTTTAAGAACATTCATAAATGTTTGTTTGTTGCATATGGAAGTTGGACAGGGATAGAAGGTTGATTTGCCACAATGTGAACATCCAGCCGCGGCTACTAGTTTAAGCGTGCTGACATGTGCTGATACCATTATTTGTGATGATGGGCGTCTTAGTCAAGGTTTAGACTTCACTGCAATCAGGTCACCCCATATTAGCTCCGTTTCTGGGCCAGTGAAAATCAAATGAAGTGTCTCTCACTGTCCCATTAAAAAGAAATGATGAATAAAAAATTAGTCCCGGCACAATCCAGAAATATGCACACGCAGTAAATGCATAAGGCCAGAGGCACCAAAGCCAACAGTCGCCACCAGAAATTCATTGATAGAAGTTGTCAGGCATGATATTCTACACATGTAGAATTAATACATAGGTATTTCACCAGCCCACACGTTAAGCGGCTACCAACCATATTGAATACCATGACTCGACCGTTGCACAGATGAAAGGCATTCCACATGAAAAACACAGCTCACAGGGCACTAAACTCAGTAGCTCAGGCAGCGAAACCAACGATGATAAGCTGGTCGCGACCCTTTTTTGGGTCGATCAAACCTTTCATAGGGGTTGCCTAAGACCATCAGAAAACACATATTCATTGAAGTTATGAAGGAAAATAATTGTTTGGAGGTCGTCGTAACATGAGCTTACTATTAAAGGGTCGCGGCATTAGGAAGGTTGAGAGCCACTGAGTTAGATGATGTAATTCTTGTGGATGTGATTTCAGAAGGTAAAACAATCAATTCTGAAGCTTATCATGTCTAAAACAAAACTCACTTTTCAGTTAAACAGTGTTCAGCTCCCAAAATGCAGCAGAATTGTTTCTTCAACAGGAAAGAGCATGACCCTCACTCAGCTAAGAAAACATAAAAAGCAGTAAACAAATTGGGGTGGACTGTACTCCACAATCCATCCAGTAGGCTCAGTTTGGCCCCTCTCTTCTTTGTTGCATTCACAGGCTGTAAACTCCGGCAAAAAGTTCTGGTTGCTCTGCCCCCTCCGGACTTCAGTCTTGTTCTAGAATCTGAGTGTTGCATGCACATACATTTTTACATATCTGGCTTATTTGTATGCAGGCTGTTGGTTCCTTGCATCTCAGGCAGATGCTCACCGACTTTAAATGATACCCCCAGTTAGTCTACTTCTACAACATGGAGAGGAAGGGGGCCTATTCTTGTTTTCCCCACACTGGGGCCCCTGGAGCCTGCATGGGGTAGATCTGGCTCCTCTGATTGTTACCTATTGAATGCATTTACAAATGTGTACTCTGTATGACAAGGTTTGACAGTGATGAGGATATTATTCATGCTGTAGGGCAGGGCTGTTCAACTGGCGGCCCACAGACCAACTCTGACCTGCGGAAGCCTAGCAAGTGGCCCAAGGATATTTATTGTATTAATGGCCTTTATATCCTGGGGCTCGGTCCTTTGGTCTGTGACGATCCCCATTTACAAAACTTTGGCCCCTGAGTAAACTTATTTGAATAGCCCTGCTGTAAGGAAAAAGCTACATGAACAGGACAGATTTTCACACAAGTAACGTGTGTCTGTCTTTGTTTAGCATTGGTGTAAGCTTAGACAAGTGGGCCGAGATTAGATAGAGAATTATGATACCTAAATCACATTATGACAAACTAGAAAACATTTACTCTCAGCTGTTTTTTTTTTTTTTTTTTAAATGTTAAGAATATCATGGAATGATAGAAAAATCAACAAAGTAGCCCCCTCAGAGACAGATGAAAGATATCAGCTGAACAGAAAATGTAGATGGTCAGTGTTGTTCTGATCTATGTGAAGGGATTGACTCGAAAACTTGGTAACGATCGGCAAGATTGATGGAAAGAGAGCAAGGGAAAAGTAAAGAGAGAAAATTAATAGCTGGAGGGGTTAGCCAAGAGTTGAGTTAGGTCAAGAAATGACATCACAGCACTCGGGGCATTCCCATGTGTGCTCCATCCTCATCTTCAGCAGCCAGGGCAGAGTTCCAATACTGATGGTACCGGTCACCATCTGGTTATAATATGTCCATCTTGCCTTTGCTTGGAGTGTAGTGAGCCGGCCAGACCCTCTGGTACACCACCCAGGTGCCTCATTCTCTCCAGGCCATAATAATTGGCAAGACAAGAACACTACTGCATCAGCAGGTGGGATGATGAAGCATGACAGGTTGTGCTTATTGGCACTGAGTATGATGATGATAGATTGTTGTTGGTGTAGTAAATTTCACGCTTGTTAAGTAGGACACGGTCGAGATGCGGTTTTATAGACATATAGTAAAATTACCCCGGGACAGATATAAAGAGTAATGAAACTGACTGACAAAGAGAAGCGTTTGCTCACGTCTGAAGGTGACAATCTACATTCTTTGGTCACGTCATGAGAAGGAAACTGGAGTGTATCGTGGTGGGAAGGTTGAAGGGGGGAGGAGAGGCAGAGGGAGACCAACAGAGAAGGTGTCAGACACTTAGAAATCATGGCATGGAAGAACATCTGTCAAAATTGATTGAAAGAACACAAGACAGAAGTGTGTGATACAGTGAATACAAGGGCATCACTGCATAGACTCTAAAGAGAGGAAGAAGAAATTTCATGCTTTCTGTATTCTCATGAATAAAAGCACTTTTTATTGTTAAGTACAAGATGTAATGTGTTCATGATTTCCGTGGGAGATTGGGCTGTCAACTACTAATGTTGCGTTTTCTCAGGTGATATTCCTTATTGGCAACAAATGTGATTTGGATGCACAGAGAGATGTCACCTATGAAGAAGCTAAACAATTTGCTGAAGAAAATGGTAAACCAGTTTTTTTTCTATGTATCACTGACTTTTACCTTCTGCTGTCAGTAAAACTCCAAATGGTGTAGTTTTTAAACGAAGTTAATTAATTAGTTGTGTATCCTTTACAGGACGTTGCAGAACCATCCCCAGCACTTTCTGGCTGTTATGGTTTTTTAACATATGCTAGAGAAAGTGGGAGCACCAATAAAGACATGGAAAGTAAATTGTATTAGACTGAAGAAACTAGGAACATAAAAAGGGAGGGGAAAAGAGGGCGGAATTCAAGAAATAAAAGAAATGTCTGGAAATACACTGGTATCAGCAGTTATAAGATAAAGAAAATTGTAATTTCTTAGGCACATCCTATAAAAAAGTGAGTAGGGAATCACCAAACAGGCTCTAGAATGGGTATCAGATGGATTGAGGAAATGTGGCCATCCATGAGATACACTTAAGTGATGTTAATAAAGAAATACTTGTCTTGCCACATGCACGCATGCGTGCACACACATCATTCATCAATGTAAAACCCATTTATGTACATATATATACACTAGCATCCATGCTTACCTACATACATTCATCAGCATAGACCATACCTATGAGGGAGCACACCGGGAAGGGAATGAGAATGAAGGAAGAAATGATTGCAGAAAGGATGAGAGCTGAGCGTTTGAGAAGAAACACTAAACTCAAATGATGACAACGGTCCTGAAATCCTGTGCTATAATTGTGGAAGATTTTTTCCTTAAACGGGGGGTCTTGCTGGTCACACTCACCATCGCTGTGGGCTGTCAGTCCCATGCCTCCTCATAGCTCAGTATAACACTATCATCTGGAAAGATGGAAAGGTGCCAAGCAATGTTGTGGCTTTCCCAGTTCAGCATGATATGGTCACGCCTCAGTTGAAGTGTACTCCTACCTACAAGAAGTCTCGATGGACCCATGATGTTTGTAAACATGGCACCAGGGTATTCTCTTTGGAGGAAAGAGGGGTTTAACTAACAAAAAAAGATGTCATTACTTAATCTGGCTCAGTGTGAGGAAAGTTACATCACAGTTTCTCCTGAAGAATCAAGGTCAAGAACCCTTCCACACCTTCAGGGGTATAGGACTAGACTTATATTTTATAGACCAATCGGTATAATGTTGTCAGCATTACGCCGGCCGCCTTTACTTCCCGGCACTGCATCCGGTACCCACTCAAGGCTGGGTCGACCTGGGAGCCAAGGTCAATTTTGAAAAAAAAATCGGGTCTGCCAGGGAGCAAACCCACGACCTTCCGATCCTCAGGCGAGCGCCTAGCCATGACGACTCCCGTCTCTCCTGAGTTATGTTAACTTTTGGCTGATTGATATCTCATCTGTTCTTCTTTTTTATACTCAGCATTCAAAACCCTTGAGATTCATTGCTGCAGGTATCACTCACCTCCATTCATCTCTCTAACTGGCTTTCTCATTCCAGTTGGTAACTGCAAGAATTTATAGGTTTGCTAGAATGTTATCTCTCTGTATTCTGCTGGGTCTGCCTCATGCTGTTCTCACATTCAGCTATTATGTGTATGGTATGTGTACATTTTTAATCTCTCTGTTATCTGCCATTTTGTCTATAAACCCTAACCAATGCAGCCTATTGGTCCTCATGATGACTGTAGTAAATGGTGATTCAAACAGATCAATATTTTCTTAGTTGCGTCTCACTCTCTATTCTCCATTGTTTGCATCTTTATAAGTCCAAATCATAAGATTGTTCTCAGAAGTTTGTAATAAGGCTTAGTCTCTTTTAGTTGTGCTTCAGTTATTTCATCTGTTAATATTTATGTGTTTCTTATCCATATTTCAGGCCTGATGTTCCTGGAATGCAGTGCTAAAACGTGAGTTATTTTATTTTAATTCACTATTGCTGACATTGATTCTTTATTGAATTACATTGCTCATATATTTACACCTTAAGCATGTACATTGTGTTAGCATTTTAAGTAAGAAATTATATTGTAAATATAGAAGATGTATTATTACGGTTTCTCTTTCGATAAAACAAATTTGTAATGTGTAAATATTTCATGTTAAGACATTTAAACAGAAAATGTAATATTATCATCATCATTTGCCCTGCCAACTGGCATAGGCCCTCATGTGCCTCCACAGATCACGATTCCTGGTTGCTTGGAACAGCTCTCTTGATGATATCCCTTCATGCCATCATTTCAGCCCATCCAGTATCTTCTCTCTTGGTCTACCTCTACCCTCTTTTTCCACTGATCTTTCCAGTTGTCACGATGTTCTCCAATGTCTCTCTTCTCATTATGTGGCCAGAGAACAGTGTTTGTCTCTTTCTTATTGTTGTATATAGAGATCTTCTTTCGTTAGCTTCTTTCAAGCAATATTATGTTACTATTTAATTAACATATTAAGATAGTTTTTGTGTATGTAAAATAAGAAAATACAAGGTTTCCATTTCATGGAAACACACCCCTGACCCCTGTCATGCCAGCGGCGCATGGGGCATCTTGTGCTGGAATCATGTTTGTGTAGATAAATCAGCACTCTGTGAATGGTATAGTTAACATCATGTTGACCTTCCTTACTTCCCAGGATATTTCCTGGGTACCTTTTTAGGTACAGTGCAGACAGTCTGCATACAAATAAACCAGATCTGTAAAACAGATCTGCGTGTGAAACTCAAGTTCTGGAAGAGGATCAAAGTTAAGAAGTGGGTGAACAACCAGAATTTTCCAGCGGAGTTTACAGCCAGTGAATACTTTGAGAGGACAAGAAAGTTATCTATAAGATTCGGGTTCTTTATTAATATCCTACTCCAAACAGGTTAAATCCACAGGTCACGGGACAGTCAAATATTTCAGGGGGTGGTAGATAGGCTGCATGCAGTCGTGGGACCTAGGCTGCACTCTCTTGTAGGACCTAGGTGGGTTGGGGTTAGGTCCAGTTCTGTGTGTTTTGAAGTCATTAAAAGCACCAGAAAGCCGGTAAACCGAGTCTTATCACCCTCTAAAATGTTGGACTGTCATATGACGTCATCTGGGGTAGGATATTAATAAAGCATCAGTTTTTGTATTAAATTGTTTTAATTCCTGTACATTGCTATTATTGGGAATGCTGAGTTAATATTAATAGCATTTCTTTTACTGCAGCGGGGAAAACGTAGAGGATGCCTTTTTGGATACCGCCAAGAAAATCTATCAGAATATTCAAGATGGCAGGTAAATATGATGAGCCTGTGAACACTGTTTTATGTGGTTTGTAGAAGGTGAGCCTGTGAACATTGTTTTGTGTCGTTTGTAGAAGGTGAGCCAGCCTGTGAACACTGTTTTGTGTGGTTTGTAGAAGGTGAGCCAGCCTGTAAACACTGTTTTGTGTCGTTTGTAGGTGAGCCAGCCTGTGAACACTGTTTTGTGTGGTTTGTAGAAGGTGAGCCAGCCTGTGAACACTGTTTTGTATGGTTTGCATAAGTGTGAGCCTGTGAACACTGTTTTGTGTGGTTTGTAGGTGAGCCTGTGAGCACTGTTTTTGTGTCGTTTGTAGAAGGGTGAGCCTGTGAACACTGTTTTTGTGTCATTTGTAGAAGTGTGAGCCTGTGAACACTGTTTTTGTGTCGTTTGTAGAAGTGTGAGCCTGTGAACACTGTTTTGTGTGGTTTGTAGAAGTGTGAGCCTGTGAACACTGTTTTGTGTGGTTTGTAGAAGTGTGAGCCTGTGAACACTGTTTTGTGTGGTTTGTAGAAGGGTGAGTCTGTGAACACTGTTTTGTGTGGTTTGTAGAATAAAAAATGACATGGGATGTCATAGGGAGAAAAGCAGCTGACATGCAGCAAATGGAGATGAAATGTTAATGCCTTATTTGTCAATAGTGCATGAAGAGGATACTAAATCATCATGTAGCAGGTCCTGTGCAGAACGAAATGGGGCCCCAGAACCCAGACAATGAGCTTGTGAAGAGAGGGACGGAGTCCAGAATCACACCTACAACCTTCAGAGCACTTCTTCAGTGATCTCTAGTCGTACACTTAATAAAGTGAGATTTCAGGTCAGGGTCTCTTAGGTTTCCCCAGGGCTTAGTTGTCAGGTCTGCTGGCTGGGGCTGCATGTTGCTTTATGGTCACTCCTAGAGAGGACAGTCTTGTAAGACGTTATCTGGGACATTTTAAGACATGATCTGGGACCTGTTGAGATGTGATTTTTGACCTGTTAAGGCAGATCTGGGACCTGTTCAGCAGAAAGACACTGACAGAGTTCTGTTTGGCTCTTACACAGTTTTGTTTAAAAAACACACAAAGATAATAGCATGTCGTAAAATTCAGATAATTAGGGATGCTTTCTGCAAGGTCATACACATCTGTCTAAGTAGTGAAGAACTAACAGTCTGCACACACAAATAAACCAGATCTGTAAAATGGATGTGCATGCAGAACTCAAGTTCTGAAACAACACTAAAGTCCAGTAGTGAACAAACAACTAGAACTTTTCATCGGAGCCAGTGAGCGCTGAAAAGAAGAGAGATTATACTGACGTAATTTATGTCTACCATTTTAGTAGGTTTTTTGTTTGTTTTTAAATGTGCTCGCTCACATTTATATCTCTATCTCTGCCCAAAAGTTTGGACCTCAACGCAGCAGAATCAGGAGTCCAGCACAAGCCAGCCACTCCTCGCAGCCCCATTAACACAGACCAGCCCCAAAACAAAGAAGGATGCGCCTGCTAGGACGACTAAGTGCATCATCATCACCATTCAATCGTTATGTCATTCTGGCTTATGGGTGAAATTAAGAAACGAGGAATTAAGCCTGCATGGCCACAGTCTCATCCGTAGCCCTGGCTATGCTCATCTTGTGCTAGTGAACTTGTTTAACTATCATCCTTCTTGTGTATGTAGATGTCATTTCACATTTGAAAAGGTTAACTCTTAAAGGGCGGGAGTTTAAAATTCATAGGATGCATATTTTTTTGTCGTTATATTTTGCATATTCCCTTTGTATCATGTATAATGTAAGATCAAATGTTGAAGAAAGACTGATTTATAAACAGCCTACGCCCGTCTCTCTAGCGAAGTTGGCTAAACCGGATTTCACGGTGAGCGGGTGACGAACTCCTTGTGGTCCGGGTTCACTCCCGGGGGTGGGCAGAAAAGCCACATTTTCTCCCAGATTTACGGTATTTAAAATGGAATCAAGGCCGAAAGGTTGCGATATCCATAATACCGAGCCTAAGGGTTAACAACTCATGGCTTCTGGATACTAAAACAAAACAAACAAACATAAACAGCCTACAGACAAAGAAAACTGATTTTGTACAGTATACGAATGTTGAATAAATTTGGCTTATTAAGAGCATACAAGCAAAGAAAACTGGCTTATAAAACAGCATATGAACAATGAAGAGGACTGGATTATAACCAGCATACACATGTTGATGAAAACTGGTTTGAAAAAAGCTGAATGTGAAACGGACTGGCTTATAAACAGCAGGTGTTGAAGAGGACTGGCTTATAAACAGCAGGTATTGAAGAGGACCAGCTTATAAACAGCAGGTGTTGAAGAGGACTGGCTTATAAACAACAGGTGTTGAAGAGGACTGGCTTATAAACAGCAGGTGTTGAAGAGGACTGGCTTATAAGCAGCAGGTGTTGAAGAAAACTTGTTTAAACAGAATACATTGTTTTGGCTTATAAACAGTATCTATGAAAGAAAACTGACTTTTAAACAGCAAACAAACATTTAAGAAAATGGTTTAAAGACCAAATGGACAGCTTTGAAGAGGACTGGTTTATAAACAGCAAATGTTGAATAAAACTTGTTTATAAACAGCGTTCATTGAAGGAAACTGACTTATAAACAGCATATCAGAAAAAACTTGAAATTTATATGAGCATTGACGAGGACAAAGAAACTTGCTTATAAACAGCATAGTTTGAAGAAAACTGGCTTATAAACAGCATAGTTTGAAGAAAACTGGCTTATAAACAGCAAACAAACATTCAAGGAAACTAGCTTTCAAAGCAACCAAACGAACATTGAAGAGCACTGTCTTATAAACAGGGTACAAACTTTGAAGAAAATTGGCTTATACACAGCATCTAAAAACACTAAAACTGAAATTTTTTAGGTTTATTAAGAGTTGCCAACCACTAACATAGAGGCAAACAAGGTAGACCAGCCCAGAGATGGACAAACGATATTACTGGCACTTAGCACATGAAAATCCAAGAGGCAGGACAACTGGTAAAGGATGGCAAGTTTTTCTGGGGAGCCATGTTACAAGTAATGCTCTGCAACTTATTATGTAATTGTGATAATATGAAATATATAAATATTTTTTTTGTTAAAATAAAAATATTGGCAGTAACAGTTCCTTTTATTTATGAAAATATATGTTAATCAGTGATATTAAGTAAGTACCCCACCAGGACATTACACAAGCAATAAACACCCGGTGACACAAAGTGTCACCATGAGGATGAGGATCACTGAAGGCTATATTACGGCCCCCGGAAAAAGCCAAGGTGGGGCTTCAGAATAGCAAAAAATTGTGTTCCACATGGGGATGACGATGATTAGCTAATCAGTGATAGATGGCGGGACCTTATATCCTGTAAGAAAATGGCAACCAAGTGTTTGTGACAGTGTTCATCTTCATCATCATGTAGCAGGTCCTTTGCAGAACGTCACTCTCATCATGGTCTGCTTGAAAGAAACTCGATCTCTCGCCAGTTCTCCCGCCTCATGCACTTTCATGCTCAAGGAGTCACTTATATCCTGTGCCCATTTTCGTGTTGGTTGGCCGCTGCCCCTCCTTCACCATGCCCTCCGCTATAATTTTCTCCAATCCATCGTGGCACTTGATATGACCAGAATATTTCAGCTTCCGAGACAGGATGCTGTTTATTAGCCAATCTTCCTTGATGTTCAAATCTTTAAAGATGTCAGTATTTCTCCTCTTCTTTGTCCAAGATATTCTGAGAATCTTTCTATAGCATTTCAGCTCAAAAGCCCCTATTCTATTTCTTAAGGTCTGGGGTTTATGACCAGTGTGTGATTTATTTAATTTTGTACTAGGCATTTTTTTTTTAAATGATCAATAATTCTGTGTCACACAGAAGCAAATTAACACAGAAGCATACCAGCCTCCTCCTGTCATACCGTTGTATGTCACACCGGGCCTGCTGTCTAGTCCTCTATGCCAATCCATTGTAGGCAATCTTTGTCTTATGGATTGAATCAAGCCCAAAATCTTTGGTCTTTGTCAAGAACATTTGTCTCAGGTTTTCTCTTGGACGTTCTCATCTCCTCAGCCAATTTGTTTCCCATTTCAGCAGTGACAAACCATGCATGTCATAAAAGAAGACTAAGCAGGGCTGGCTTGTTCTGTCCTAAACTGCACTCTGCGTGATTTTGGGTATTATTTATATGTATTACTCAGTGTGTAATGTATGTTTTTACATCTTAGTTTAGTGAAGAACTCTAAAAACATATTTTTTTTTTTTTGGTCAGGGTTGTATATTTGGCCTCTGAGAAAGTATTAAACCCCTGAGTTTAGTGTTGCCCTTTTTAACTCCCTCTGACATTAGTTAAAGCCTTGTGGAGATAACTCAGTCCATAAAGCAGTGATTCCCAAACTGTGCGCCCCGGGGAGCCGTGACCTCTTCACAGGGGCGCCGCAAAATATTGTAAAAGCTTCATAATTAATTTAACCAAGACACAAATATTCATACTTTTACTTAGGTTAGGGCGACATGGAAAAGTTTTAATTGAAAAAAAGTGCCGCAACCAAGAAAAGTTTGGGAAACACTGCCAGAGAGGATTTACCTGCAAATTGCAGCCAGCCATGAATATGTCTACAAAGGGCTTAGCTTCAGTTGTGTTTGAGGGCCTGTGTTCATTTGTGAGGTTGAAGGCAAAAGAAGAAGATGACAGATTCTGTATAACAGCTACATGAAAATAAATTCATAGGCATGAGAAAACCAAGATAGGAAATAAATGTTTCATGTAGTTTTAATAAAAATTCTTACCTGTACAGGTTGTGGCGACTGCACCAGCCATTTGACCTTAAAACCTCAGGGTCATGACCCCCTGCGGTACACTGCCAAAAGTGGTTGGTACAGGCACTAAAGAAAGATTTTAAATGGGGGGGGGGGGGGGGAGATTTGTGCAGTGTCTAAGAAGTTTGTGAAATCGTGTGCATGGAAAAGGTACTGTCTTGTCCTTTGAGGGTTAATTATACATACATGTTAATTTTGTCATGTAGTTTGTTATTGATTGTAACTGTGGGCTGGGGTCAGATAACGCAACTGTGAGGTTATTTCAGTTGTAACTGTAGTAGAATAGGGTCAGATAACACAACTGTGAGGTTGCTTCAGTTGTAACTGTAGTAGACTGGGGTTAGATAACACAACTTGAGGTGTTATCATTGATTGTAACTATAGACTGGGGTCAGATAACACAACTGTGAGGTTGTTTCAGTTGTAACTGTAGTAGACTTGGGTTGGATAACACAACTTGAGGCGTTATCATTGATTGTAACTATAGATGGGTCAGATAACACAAAGAATGTAGTTGTTACAGTTGTAACTATAGACTTGGTTCAGACAACACCAAATATGGTTGTTACAATTGTAATTGTAGAGTTTTGTCATATAACATCAAGTGTGGGGTTGTTAGAGTTGTAACTATAGACTTGGGACACATTATGCCTAGTGCGTGGTTGTTATAGTTGTATTCATAGACTTGAGTCAGTTAACACCAAGTGTGTGGTAGTATCAGTTGTAACTGTATGAATCATTTAACACCAAGTGCGTAGTTGTTAACAATAGTAATTATAGACTTAGGTCAGATAAACATCTAGTGTGCAATTGTTACTACTGTAACCAGACAGGTCAGTTAACACAGCAAGAAGTGGATTTGTTACAGTTGTAAATATAGATGTGTGTCAGTTAACATGATCATGAAGTGTTACAATTTTGGAGATGTGGAAGATAAAATTCCACTATCTTATCACATGTCCACTTTGTTTGTTTGAATGTTTGTCTTCTTGTTGATTCAGTTGACCAGTGTATGTATGTCTTCTTTTTTATTCAGCTTACCAGTGTGTGTATGTCTTCTTGTTGACTCAGTTTGCCTGATTCTTGCTTAGTTTTCTCTCTCCTATTTATTCTTATTGTAACTATTTAGCCCCTTACCGAATTTTGGTTTATCATGTTTTAAAGTTTATTCCATTTTTAGTCTGATCAAACTGCAGCTTGTTTCATCAGGATTGAAACTGTTCCCTGGCTGCTGGTAATTGGGACAGAGCACATTTGGGAATGCAATGAGTGCTCTGATATTGATTCTTGGTGCAGCTAAAACCAGCTGTTCCTTGTTCAGTTTAGTTTCTCAGATTTGTTCCCTGTTTAGTTTAGTTTCTCAGATTTGTTCCCTGTTTAGCTTCTCAGATTTGTTCCCTGTTTAGTTTCTCAGATTTGTTCCAATTAGTTTAGTTTCTCAGATTTGATCCCTTTTTAGTTTAGTTTCTCAGATTTTTTCCCTGTTTAGTTTCTCAGATTTGTTCCCTGTTTAGTTTAGTTTCTCAGATTTGATCCCTTTTTAGTTTAGTTTCTCAGATTTGTTCCCTGTTTAGTTTAGTTTCTCAGATTTGTTCCCTGTTTAGTTTAGTTTCTCAGGTTTGTTCCCTGTTTAGTTTAGTTTCTCAGATTTGATCCCTGTTTAGTTT